TGTAGTAGTAGTAATAGTGGTAGTAGTAGTTGTAGTAGTAGTAAATGTAATAGTAGTAGTAGTAGTAATAGTAGTAGTAGTAGTTGTAATTGTTGTAGTTGTAGTAGTAGTAGTAGTAGTGGTAGTAGTAGTAGTTATTGTAGTAGTAGTGGTGGTGGTGGTGGTGGTGGTAGTAGTAGTAGTAGTAGTAGTAGTAGTAATAGTAGTAGTAGTAGCTGCAATAGTAATAGCGATAACCTTTTAATTTTCTATCGGAACAATCTGATGTTCTGCTGAATGAATGCACGTCCTGGTGGCCGATGGAGCTGCGGTGATGGTGGTGGCGACAACGACGACGATGACGATGATGATGATGATGATGACGATGGTGACGACGATGATGATGATGAAGGAGATGATGATGATGACGATATCCCATGCATTTTATCATCAGCCCAACAGCACGGTACTCACAATCAGTCCAAACAATCGAAGCATATCTAATGAACAGTGACGTCACACACAAACACGTGATCAAAACAAAGCCATTCACGTGACCGGGCTTGTTCACTTCCCGTCTGGGTCAAGTCATTAGCGAGAGGTCAACCGATATGTAAACTTCCGGTTTGTTGTGACGTTGTAGGCGGTGATGATTGTGATGTTACGTACGTATGATATATGGTTATAAGGTGTAATATTATTATTATTATTATTATTATTATTATTATTATCATGTTGTTAGTGTTATTATTGTTAGTAGTAGTAGCTGTAGTAGCTGTAGTAGTAGTAGTAGTAGTTAAAGTAGTAGTAGCAGTAGTTGTAGTAGTATTAGTAATAGTAGTAGTAGTAGTAATAGTGGTTGTAGTTGTAGCAGTAATAGTAGTAAAATCATTACAGATATTGAGGATTTTACAAATTTTTTTTTGTTTAATTTGTTACCTTTCAAATTTTCTTCACTGTGTATTGTTTTGTATTTGAAAAAACAGTAAATGAAAAGCTCTGAATTCAAAAATGCGGCTGATTATACTACAAAATAAACTTAAAAATTATGTGTATATATATATATATATATATATATATATATATATATTTTATGTTTATGTGATTCTGCCAGGGGCTATGTGTATGTATGTGTGTGTTTATGTATGTATGTGTGTGTATGGGCTTATATGTGTGTGTGTTGTATACGTGTGCAATCACATGTGAGTATGTGTATGTATGTGTGTGTTTATGTTTGTATGCGTCTGTGTGTATGCGTGTTTGCAGGTGTATGTGGTTATTGTATGTTCGTGTTGATATACAGATATTCATTCTTACACATATCTGCCATCAGTTCATCAGCAATGCGTTGAAATGTATAGAAATATACATACATACTTAAATACATCCATATATGCATACATATAAACATACATACATACAAACAAACATACATACATACATACATGCATACATACATACTAACATACATACATACATTTATATATACATATATACAATGAATTGTGTATATACACGCATACCTACAGGAATGTATTTATTGAAAGGTTAATCAATAAAGTCACTTCGAATTATTTTCAATCAGATGTTGATGTTTACGCGCGTTTGTATGTATGTCTGTATGTGTATGTATGTGTGTTTGTATGTCTGTATGTGTATGTCTGTATGTGTATGTATGTGTGTTTGTATGTCTGTATGTCTGTATGTGTATGTCTGTATGTGTATGTATATGTGTTTGTATGTCTGTATGTCTGTATGTGTATGTCTGTATGTGTATGTATGTGTGTTTGTATGTCTGTATGTCTGTATGTGTATGTCTGTATGTCTGTATGTGTATGTCTGTATGTGTATGTATGTGTGTTTGTATGTCTGTATGTCTGTATGTGTATGTATGTGTGTTTGTATGTCTGTATGTGTATGTCTGTATGTGTATGTATGTGTGTTTGTATGTCTGTATGTGTATGTATGTGTGTTTGTATGTCTGTATGTGTATGTATGTGTGTTTGTATGTCTGTATGTGTATGTCTGTATGTGTATGTATGTGTGTTTGTATGTCTGTATGTGTATGTCTGTATGTGCATGTATGTGTGTTTGTATG